GCCGGAAAATACTATTTTTGCAATACCATCCGCTCATGGAGATAACGCGTATATCTCCTGGAGCGGAAGCAATTCCGTGGGCATTGAATAACTGTTGGAACGTTGGTGCGCAACATTGCTACAATTTCACCACGTTCCTTTCAAATGAGTACTACACATAGTAAAGGTTTTTCTAGTTACCGGCGTATGTTTATCAGGATATTTCATCCGCTGAAACCGGTAAATTTACGTTTCAGATAAATACGAATTTAATTTGTATCTAAGGTGTTTTTTTAACATACTAACATCTCAGATGTTTTTTTAACATACTGAACGTGCGATGAAATACGAATGATTTATCAAAACGAAATGTACGTTGTATTGAAATGCATATATTGTTGATATTCTTTCATCGGAATTTTTTAATTAAAATGTGTAATTATTTTAATCGATAATAATATGTGAAAATGATTGTTGAAATTGATACATCCACGTTTTATATCAAATATCACAGGACAAAGTAAAACGCTATATGAACTTGGCATTTCAGTTTGTCCTGAGGTATTTTATTTGATTTAATGATTTAGCCTGAACAAATTTGTTTAAACTATGAAAAATTATAGAATTATTGATAGCAAAGTCAGAGAGAACTTTTAATTGTTTATGAAGTTTTACGTATCCCTTTTCTTTCTCTCTTTCTACATTTTTAAAAATATATTAATATATATATTGATACATATTTAATTAATTTTGAATCGTATCAATATTATTACGATAAATCAATGAAAAATGGTTTCTTATGTATATACATATTTTTCTAGAAATTATAGTTATTTCTATTACGGTACCGAATAATTTTTTTAGTAATATAGAAAATTTTGCGTCACATAATTTGAACACTGAAAAGATACATCTGCATATTCATTGCTTTTTTACGGCAAATAAGTGTGCTGAATCAACTTTTCTATACACTCTTTTGAGATAATCGCTCAACTGTCTCATGTGCGAAATATCAGATACGCTGGCCGCTTTTCCGCGATGTGGCCAACCCCGAGAGTTGGATTGATAAAATAGAGTAAAAGCTCCCTTCGGTACCATCTTGGAATGTTCTCTGAAACTGCAGACATATTTCACTAGCAAGTTTAACTGCGTTTTTCTTGATTCATAAAGATAGAAAGAGAAAGAGAGATCGAGAGGGAGGTGAGGAAGGGAGAAGAAGCGGATGACGTAAACGCTGAAATCTGTCTCGATATCTCCTCTCTTCTTTTTCTCTCTTTCTCTCCTTCTTTCTCTTGTTCTCTTTCTTTCGAATCAAACATACTTGCATTATCCTATCGTTGAATACAGTCAGATAAAATTGGATAAATTTTTACTATTATATAATAAAAAATTGATGCTTTGTATATGCAAATAGCGAGCGCGAAAGTTATAAAATATATTGGAATATTTTCATTTTTATCGAATATTATCAAGAAGGGAACGGTACTTTGATGACATAAGTACCATTGTAAGAATGTGTCATATCTCACGTGAGAAAATTCGAGTCAATTTAATAATTGTTTTGGTTTTATATTTAATCAAATTCAGGAATTATTTTAATTTAAAATTCTGCGAAGATGGCTATATTATTATAGAGCATCGTAAAACAAATATAAATGAAGAAGTGGCTAATTGTAAGCGCATTTTTTACAGATAAATAATGATTACATAGCTCATTTTAGACAATTTATAATTTACGGCAAAAGATTTGGTGAAAAAATTTCAATTTTTATGTCATGTAATATGTACAATACATTTTGCAAAAATTAGATACATATATTAATAA